ACGTTCAAGTACCTATCTCGAGGAAGCGTACTTGAGATAGGGACTTCTGGAGCTGTTCGACCATATGGGAGCTATGCTCGGGAGATAATATTACCGTTCCTGGACCTGACCTGCTTATCTCTGCTCCTGACCACCCACGTACCCGGACATTCAAGTCCCTATCTCGCAGACATGTCCGTTAGATAGTGTGCCGCTCAGATGATTCAGCTGATGCAGATGATGCAAAGCAGAAACTCGCATTTCTTGCATCCCTAAAGCCTTCAAGATACCCAACATTAGCACGAAAGCACTTTAAGCCGATTCCAAAAACGTGAATTAACACAGGATTCTAGAGCGAAAATGGCCCCCCCCCTAGCTAACGCTACAGTTAGTACTAACGGTACTACGGAATCATGCGTGCCCTATAACACGCCTCAGCACCTTCGGTGCGGGCGGATTTTGGATCGAGGACAGCGTTGAATCTCTGTTTGTACCTTTCCGGTGACCAACAAAGATAGATGAGCGCCACCTCTTCGTTGGCGCTCAGTTCCTTCGTTGGACTTTATGAACCGCGCCACCTCCAGGCTGCAACCCAATGATGATGGCGCCTTTTCCATTGGTTCCTCCAGTAGGCCAGGGTTTTGGAAGAACTCCCGAGCGCGATCAGTGCGACATCTCCATGGCGCATGTGGGCCGAGCCCCCAAAAACAAGCGCCTCTATTTGTCCGGAGGCGCTGATTCCCAAAGCCTGGCACAATATTCTGCGAGCTTGCAAGCCATTGCGGACCAGTATTCGCGGAAGCTTTGACTGAACCAAGATCGACGTCTAGTCACCACACCACAAGGTTGATCCGACTTGCAACTCTGTGCTGAGGATGGCAACAGTAGCTGCAACACAAGAAAGAGATTTGGGCACCTTGGCAAGTGAGCTTTGAGATGCGAAAAAGAAGTGCAAACCAAAGAATCAACGCATTTCTTCTTCGCCTGAAATAGGACTTCCATTACCTTGTGGTTCCGTGAATCCTTGGAGTCTGCCCGATGTCGGCGCTGGATATGCTCAAAGAAACAGGACGGTCTTCAAAGGGTCCAAATGGAGCTGAAAGGGTCGATGGTGGTGTCTCGATAGTGAGACAATAAAGATCGGCCCATGTCTGATCGCTTACCTTCAGGGTACCGGAAGGGAAGGACATGGTGAAAGCTATAGACAAGTTGTTAAAGCTACTACTAGGAACAAGAAGCTACTAGGGGCTCCTGGCATCGCTACTAGGAGCAAGGACGCTACTAGGGGCTTCTGGCCTTACTACTAGGAGAAAGAAGCTATTAGGAACGCCCCTTCTTCCACCTGCAGGACTCGAACTGATTCCGTCCAATCCCAGACGCTTGGCGAAAAAAGTGTAGTCGTTTTGCGTGGTTGTTAGTGGCGCAGAACCAGAGCAACGGCCAACCCTTTGCATACTAGTAGCAAGAAGATATTAGGTGGAGGCCATCGCAAGTAGGGTCGAGGCCATCGCTAGTAGGAGCAAAAATATATACTTGTTCAAAAGGTGCTGTCAGACTGTCGCCTCAAGAAGACTCAAGTGCATGTCAAGTGGGTTCAGGGCGGTCGAGAGAAATGCATCCAAAAGTTGTTGAGAGTTGGAACCAGCCATGACGGAAATCCATTGGTTCCTTACCTCCTTACTAAAGGGCGGCTTGGCGTGCCTCATCGTGCCTCCGTTGTTGCAGTTTCACAAACGACACTCCTGTCAGACGGGAATCAACTCGGATTCACAACCTGCACTGCAGTGTTAGGACCGATGTCGCACCAGTAGTGAAGAGGATCCTTGGCCAACATTAGCATCTGAGCCGAGCTTGTCCTTTCTGACCATGAGTCTAGTTTATCACTCAAAGCAGAGGTTTTGTTCGCTCACACCCAACAGCTTGGCACTTTGCCTGAACTTGCAAGCAGGTTCCTTCAGCTTCCTTCAGAGACTAGATTAGCGAGTGGCCCCTTCTCAGACAAACTGGCTAGACTTTCAAACATTCTTGCAAAGTTTTACAATTGACTCGAGAAGACACAACACAACGCTGTTGACAGACTCAAATAGCATGTACTACTCAAGGTCCAGAGACCAATAAGTAAACAGCATGTGTGAACTTTGATAACTTTTGACTTTTGGACAGCTTGACTTGTGGTCCAATCTGCTAACACGGTAAACAACGGCTTCTTCTTCAACAGACTGTGCGTCTTTTTCCAGTAGCCCATAGCCAAACCCTCTTCAGAAGTGCTTGCATCTCATCCCTCCCCGTCTACAAATACTACCTCTTCTCTTCTCTCCTCTCTTCTCCTCCCCTCACCGACTGCGACCGGCTAAGTGAATCGGAATGGGTCACCGTGATGATCCGCAACTTGCCCAACAACTATGGCAGAAACGACGTCCTTTCCTGAGAATCTGACGTGAGCGTGTTCAACGTGTTCAACGAGCGCTTCTTCAAGGAAGCTTCTTTAGGGCGGCGGGGGGAGCTTCCTTGAAGAAGCGCGAGCTATCCTGCGTCCTGTCAGTAGTAGCTACTTGCAGGTACTAGCTACCTAGCTTCTACTGGCTACCAGGACCTACCTAGCTACTTCCTACCTCCTAGCGGCCTACCCCCTCCGTGCGCGAAAAAACGCGCGGTCGCTTCAGGTCGTCACGCTTTTGGATGAACAGGGCTTCAAGGCGAAGTATGACTTCGTCTACCTGCCCATTGATTTCAAAAATTCCAGTGGCCTTGGCTATGCTTTTGTGAACATGGTAAGTCCACGCCTGAGGATGACTCGGCTGACTCGGCAGCGAGAGCAGAGTGATTGCAGGTGTCAGCATTCGTCGTGTTGATCTGAATTCAAGGCCATGAAGATGCTTTGGAAGTCATGAACAAGCTTGGAGGCTTCAAAGACTGGAAAGTGCCCAGCCAGAAGGCCTTGAACAAGTGTTTCATTGGCGTTTGGTGTTCCCATTGGCCAGTATGGCCAGTATGTTCGGAGATAGTCTCGGTTTCAGGTTTGCGAGGTGGCATGGGGAAACCCTGAGTGGCTTGGCAGAGTTCGTCCAATGACATATCGTTTGAGGAGAAGATGAGGCAGTGAAGCTAAGCAACAAGAAAGTGTATAGGGCTGTTATATAGCCCACAAAAGACCCGACTCTCTGAAAAGAGAAGGACACATAAACACCATCATGAAAGGATGTGACATCACATGGACAGCCAAGGCAGCAGGGTTTAGACTTTCACATTGGTCGGTACAGGCCTGCGACGTTCTCGCACATGTTCCAGCTCAGATAGAACAATTGACTTATGGATGAATCGCCTATCAATCCGGAGCAAGTTCCTTTTTCAATGCTGTTTTAGACACAGTTGGATGTGTTACACCTCGGCAGGAACAGCCCTGTGATGCACAACTCCGTCAAAGAGGACGGTTTCGCTGTGCGCACAAGGCAGTGGCCTTTTGCTCTCCCACGCCACTCAATAATACCTTGCAGAGCATGCCCAAACTGCCTTGGTGTCAAGGGTGGTCTTCATGACCTTGCTCATGTTGTTCTCCATTCTTTTGGAGGAGTTCAAGCCGTTGATCTTTCAGAATGGGACGCCCATCCCATTTCCAGAACCGACGAAGGCGGGGTCGAAAGCCGCGGATCCGCCTTCAAGCCGCGGAACTGGGAGAGGTGCCGAACGACTCCAAAAGCCGACCTGCCACTGAGCCGACTCCCGGGAAACCCACCGGGAAAACCACGTTACGGATGAATGGCACCTCAATTCCCCAGCTGTTTTTTTTCATGTTTTTTCCTTCTTTCGGCATGCTTTGGGGCCCCCAACCCCCTGCTCTTTTTCATGCGCAGGACCGAACAGAAGTCATTTCCGAAGTCGCTTCCTTCCTTCGTTTTCGACCGCGGCCGATCCGGTCGGTCGTTGGAGGCCCCTCGGAGGCCACGGATGAAAAAGCACGCGCGGATTGGATGCCGTTCACCGGAAGCTTCGGACAAGGAGGACCGATCCGGGTCGGGATTGCCACTGGAGGGGGTCGGACCTTGGCAGGGTGCACAAAGGGGCCCGTGAGATGAGGAGATGGATGAGATGGACTGAGCGAATGGGCACTGTGGCAGGTCTTAAAAAGGAGGGACAAAAGAAACCCGGTGCCTCTTGAGCTTCGTAGCCTCTTGAGCTTCGTAGCCTTTGTTGGGTTCTTCAAGGTCCTTCAAGGTCCTCACCAGTGTGAGACAGTGGTCCTGTCTTGCCTGTGCAGGAGGACGGGGAGCATGCAGAGCAAGGCACTTCATGAGCTTTTTAGGCTCATGACTGTTGCCACTTTGGTGCCGCATGCACCTGGTGGCCTAATGGCCAAGCACAGTGAGGTAGTTGTTTTCTGGACTGGCACAGTTTTACAGGCTTGGAGAGTGCGTAGGCTGCTGCCACGACGTTCTCAACTTTATGACAAAAATTATATAACATTCTTGTTACACCATCGGCAAGTTTGATAACATGACCTTTCCTCGACTGCGATTGCTCTGGAGCTTGTCCAGAGCGAAACAAGTTCTCCAGCTTTTGGCTTTGCAAATGGCAAATGCAGTTTGCTCTTGCGGGCCTGACTTGCAAGTAACCTAGAGTCCAAAGTAACCAGAGTTATGCCAGAATTATGCGATGTTGCTTAGCCAGCAACGTCTCGAGGAAGGCTCTGAAGAGGACGGGCACATTTTTTTGACTTGTGACTTGTGACTGCAACGAGAGGTCCGCTGTGCTGGGGAAAAGAGCCACAAGCCTGTGTGAACGGAGTGTCGTATGTTTTGTTTGATTCTCACTTTCACAGGAGAAGAGAAAGCGCATAAAACTTAAGGTAAGATTGGAGTTGAAAGACATTTCCTTGATGTTCTTTAATTAATTATGTATGTGCCTTGCTCAACATTTTGGAGCAACACCACTCATGATGATGCGAGTTCAATTGGCTACCAGAGATAGTATAGTCTCTTCAAAGCATGTTTTGTCACCGGTCTCACTGGATTTCTGCATCCGACCTCTCCGACCAGGCCGTGCCGCCGAGCTACGCCCCGGCTTCGCCGTGGGGGGCCGAGTGCGGCGCTTCGCGGCGCTTCGCGGCGGACGGAGGGGCGAAGACGGAGGGCGGAGGCCGTGAACGTCCGAGGCCTTCGGAAGACATCGATGTGACGGGGCCGGAAGCTGAAAAAACGCCTTGAACGCCAAGCTGTTCGAACTTGTTGACGTTTTCATGGGAGAACAAACCAAGTCGTCCACATGGAACGGCGCGAAGCGTGTCTGGTGTTTTTTTTCCTTTGTTGCTTCAAGGCGCACAGCTCGTATGCATGCTGGTGCCGGAGTGAGAGACCTGGTGAGTGGTTTGGGGAGGACCGGAAAACCACCGGAGATGCTTTTTGGGCTCTTCCAACCTGAAAAGACAAGGCTCTTGACATGCTTTTGCCACGTTCCTCTTCGCTGGGAATATTTGAGACTTTCTCACATCTCCCTGTTTTGACACAGACCTGCTTCTCATGCTGAGTTGTCCCTTCACAGAATAGAGACTCTTTCTCTTCAAGGCCGCAAACCGCTTTCTGCCTCCTGGAGACAAAGGCCTGCTTCGCTGAAGCAATTGGGCGGACCACTTGAAAACCGATGTAGCTGGCCGAAGTTCATTGACATACCTGCCACAGTGATATGAAGTTCCTGAAATACACACACACTTCTTGCCAGGCCGTGTTGACCAGCTCTTGCAAAGGCCAACATGCCCGATGTCAGTGAAGTGACGGTTGTTTTGCTCCACAAACAACATGTTGCTCAGTTTCTCATTGCTTCCTGGCAGTATGCAGTGCTTGCTTTTTGTTTGAACACATCTAAAAATCACTGCTTGGCTCCAGGCTTCAGCAGGGAATGTCCATCAGCTGACCTTTCAGAGATTCTGAGCGGACGAAGGGAGTTGAGCAGATCTCTGGTGTCGTAGAGATCTGGTGCTGGTGCCCCTGGCCTGGTGCCCCGCCTCTTGACATTTCCGGTGTTTCATCCGAACGAAGATGTTTTCTTGCCGAAATCAAAGGAGCGGAGCAGCCACGAAGAAGCAGCCACGGCTTCGAAGCCAGAGCGCCACACAAGGCGCCCACTACACATACGAAGCCAATGGCGTCTGGGGAAGGCCAGGTGCTGAAACAGCCCATGAAAGACCTCGTGTGAAAAACTCTGTGGGGCAACCTGTGGCGCGTCAGCTTCGTAGAACAGCGCCGTTGTCCGGTTTGACTTCTGCGGAGTTCTTCCACCGGACAACTTGTGTGGCTGATCTTCCCATGCGAGCTGAAGGCATTTGGGTTTAACGGGTAAACATGGGACATGGAGTAAAAGCCACATTCTCCGTCACAGTTTTCTCTCCAAGAATTGCTCACGTTGCTACTTTGGAAGCAGATCCTGATAGAAACTCTGTCCAAGTTGATCAAAGAACTCATACAAAGCGGAATCGCGGAACTGACAGAGCACTGCTTTGATGGCATGGGAGAGTGAAGCCAGTGATGCCGTGCCCGAAGTGTACGAGGCTCGAGAGTGACAGCTTAAAAAATGACTGGCTAGGCCAAGCAGAGCGAGCGAGAACATTTTCCATGAGCCAGGACAGTACAGTGACCTCTGGCCCTCCAACCCAACGAGCTCAGAAAGAGGAGAAGACAGAAGCTCTGGATTTGCTTGAAATCTCAAAAGCAGTTCGACGAGCTCCAGGAGCCCCTGGACGAGCTCCAGGAGCCCAAGACCGATGACGAAGCCGGAAACGGCATTCTTCCAAGAGAGGACGGCAGAAATCTTTCTAAGGATTTTGGACACCACCTGGTTTTGTTTTGTGTCCAAAACGTGTCCACTTCAGTTGGACGCTGCTCTCTTCTGCTGGACAGAAGCTGCAATGAGTAATTAGCAATTGGTCGGAGGATGAAGACAGTGAGGATGGAGGTGCCCAAGAGAAGCAGGCAGTTTCTCCACTTTCCCGTGGTGTATCTTTGCCGTTTCACCTGACTTTTCACTTGCCATGGACTGCCTATGGAAGTCATATGAAGTTGCTTTCAAACGACACAAATGCTTTCAACCCACCGGAGAGTCGAAAAAGAGGAATACTGCTCCAACGAAACCGGTGTCGTCTCCAGGTCGTGAGCACTGCACCTTTTCAGAAGTTCTCGGAAGAGGCCACCGTTGACGACGATTCCAAGGGGCTTCCCCGGAAAGGTGGGCGATTTCGAAAGCGATAGGTTCATCCAAAATGAATTGAAACCCTCAAACCGTTTACTCAAAGCAGGATGTGAATCGAATCAAAATCGTTTCGGGAGACTCAGTTTTGTTTTGACCATCTTCGACCCGTCCACTTGGGAGAAGCAGCGGCCTGCCAGATTGTGTATATAATTGGGTGATATTTGGTGTTCGTTTGCAGCGCTCTTCTTTCCAGTGGACAAGCGACAGTGCGCTTCGTTGTCTTTATTTACATATCAAAATAAGTCTATGAGTTCTCAGATGTTATCAGTAACGGTGACAGCACCTGAAGTTGAGAGCTGCTCGCAGGTGCAACGATTGTTTGAAGAGGCCCGACATGTGGATGTCTTTGAATCTCTGACCGATCTGGTTGTGTAACAAAGCAGCAAAGAGGATTAGTTTTAACACCTCATGGGCAGAGTGGCTTGAGTGCAGATTGCCTACAGTCAGATGCCAAATATATAGCATCCCAAGTCAAGTCTTTGCGCCCAGCTTTCGGACGCAGGCCAGTCGCTACAACAATTGCGAACTTGACGTGAGAACTTACTTCGATCTGCAGGCGAACCAAACCGGCGCGCTCGAGCGAGCGCACGTCGACCATAGGTCGAGTCGGATCGCTCCAGTTGAGTCGGGACGGCTGTTGTCACTCTTTGGCGCCAGGGCTACAATCTTGAAAGCTTCGCATGTCGAACCAAGAAGCAGCCAGGATCTTTGCTAATGCCTCACTGCCATGCTTTGGACTTGTTGACTAACCCCCCAAAAATGCTCCATGCAGATCAATTCACTGAGATTTCTAGATTTCTCCTCGCCACGAGCCTGTGCCTCACTGTCGTGACAGGATGTATATGTTTTATTCAAGAATATTTGAAAAGCTGGCCTGCAACCTAGCACTTCGAAGAGACAGGACCAAGAGTCTTGTTTTGGCAGTGCTTGGAGTTCAGAAATAGATCCGCTGGAAGTCCCAATCCGAGCTTCGACGCCCTTTTCGTCAAGGTGGGGAAGCAGAAGGGAGTCGAAGTGGCTTTGTTTTCACCTGTGGACTTTGAAGAGCGATTGTGCAGCCCTCAGTGCAAGCTGGGCTGAAGCCACCACACAGGCACTACACCTTACAAAAGAAGCGGTTTCTTCCGTTTGGGATATTACTTTAAGACACAAAGGTTGGCACCAGTTTACAAGTCAAGAAACAAATGCACTGGTCAGACGATGTCTCTAAAACCTTTGGCTGCGCTTGATTGTATCTAATATCCAGCATATCCATTGGCGACTAAGCTTTCAGACGTTTTACTGTCTTCCTTCGGCATGCTATTGTGGCAAAACCGCGCAAATGAGATGGAGTGGAGTCGTGGGTTAGCTGCTGACACCCAATTAGATAGTAAATGATAATAAGCATACATAAGACATCATATGACTCATAAGACTCAAATATCTCGAATCTCGTACAGGGCAGTGTCATAGCATTCTCTTAGACTCTAAGGGGTTATATCCACCATTGGCGTAGATCCACCAGAATCGATTCCCCACTCCCACTTACTCGGTCATCAGTTGGTCGACCAACTGAGGCTTGGCTTTCGAGCTGTCTTGGAATGGGCCAAAGACTTTAAGATGATGCCGCAACGTGGGATTCCGCGGATGCAAGTCTTGATGTTTTTTGTCAAGTGATCAAGTGACTATGTCAATGTCTCCAAAAGGACTGAGCCTTCAATGAACTGACCAACCACGTAGGATACCTGCTGTGAGAAACTTGGGCAGTGCACACCCTTCAACAGATCGTAATCGTACAAGGTGCACATTCGGAAAGGACCATGTGTTTTCAAACGCTGGATGATACAAGCGCTGCCAGGTGTTCCTAAAAGGCAGCTGGAGCGTATTTTCGCAATTCGGCTGTGAGTCTACGCTGGGTCGAGAATGATGGATACCAGAAGTATATTTATATACTAGTACATGCAACTCTTCACCTTTTTGCCTTTTCCATATGGCTGATACCGTGCGTAGTCCATACTGTAGAGCTTGCAGGATGGTGCTTCATCCATGACTCAATAGACCAAAAGTTCGACAAAAGATTCATTGCTGCCTGAGCATGTTTTTTTCTTCAATGTCTCAACTCGAGGTAACTTGTCATGCGGGTGACTTACCTTCGCATGAAAAGATTGCTTCAAAGATTACGTACCCTGGCTTGAAAGATGGTCATGCCACGATTGCATCAAGACACACGAGTGGAACAGCACCCTTCCTTAGTGATTAATTGAATGTGGACGTTCTGGAGTTGTATTCCGGCTTGTGACATGCCTGTAGGCAATGTGTCTATAATGAAAGCCAGTCATGGTACTTCAGCTTAGCTGTATTTGCCGGTGGCCAAGGTACTCAGAAGTCTGTACCCTAGTTCAAGCAGGACCAAGGTATTCAGAAGGATGTACTGAACGCACACATTGGTTACAGGCAAATATGAGTGGAGAGAGAGAGAGAGAGAGAACTCTTTGGCCATTCTCTGACCGTAAAAGAATGAAAGAACCAACCAGTCAACCCCAATGGCATCCTCTTCCCTTCTCCACTCGTCCTCTACCACCGGTCTTGCCTCTCGGGCCGATCTTCGTCCGGTTCCGAGCTCCGAACGCGCTGAGTTTCTGATGCTGATGACATTTTGTGCAAGTTCTGGGGAGCCCATGGACCTCAGCAGGCCGACCGAGGTCGTTGGGAAGTCCTGGGTTTCGGATGGTTGGTCGATCTGCTGCTTCGACTGTTTGTCGAATTACTGTATATCCTGTAATCGACTGGGAAGAGACGGAAAGAGACTTTCGCACTGAAGAGACTGGGCAGGGTGGATGGAAGCCTTAGTAGAGAAGTCGAGCCACGTGTGAGCCTCAGTATTGATCATCGATAGAACGTCACAAAGCCTTTGTTGACGAGGACACAGCTCACAGAAACTCACAGAATCAGCTGGCTCATCAGCTGGGTTCATGGGCTTTCTTCTTGTGCATTTGCATCCTCATCAGCAGAACATATTAAAGCGCACCAGACTGGATGAATATGAAGCGCAAAAAAGACCCAAGGACTGGAGCAAGTCAAAAGACTTGCCACATTCTTGAGCAACTTGGCAAACATTGCTGCAGTAGCTGCACGGTATATGCCGCCCTTGGGATGCTCCTTTGTGGCACCAGTTCTGCCATGTTCTGCCCTATCTTCCTTGTCCTCTTGGCGTGTCCGATTCTTGTTGTCCTCGCAGGTTTGAGAAGCCCAAAGCAGGCAGGTCTTCCCAGACGGACCCTCATAACTGTTCTCATGGCAGAGTGTGAGTGGCAGGTAAAGCTCAACCTCCACAATGCCTATCGAGACGTGCACTTTTGGAAGCTCAGCATCCTGGAGGAAATTCTCATCTAAGACGTTTCACATGAGAGCAAGCAACCATAAGCAACCCATGAATCCCACCCCCACAGATGGCTTCCACACTGCTTCAGCCCTTGAACAAGAAGCTCTTGGGGCGCTCCGTGCCAAGGTGATGGTGCGGACTTTGAAAAGGAAGCACGCGCCGCTGAGATGAGAGCGAGACCGCACTACGAGGCAGGACCGAGAGAGAGAGAGCGTGGGATCGAAGGGATCGAGTCGTGTTCTTAAACAGTCCAGTGATGTGTTGTTCTTCATGTGGGCAAACATTAAAAGTATTTAAAGGTTATATATTCACGTCGCTTCGCGACGGTAACCGCCCGCACCGGAGGGAAGGGGACAATACATCCACCGAGTCCCGGAAGGAAGCCCGAGCTGCTTGTGCTCTTGGAGCCAAGGGAGTGAGTATGAACTTCGCGGGCTATGCTGCGTACCAGTTTACGACGTTCAAGTCCCTATCTCGCAGACACGTCCTTTCGATAGTGCCTTCGAGCGCTCGGTTAGACAATATCTTCACGCTATTCCAGTCCCTTGGGAGCCTTCGTTAGACCATGTTTACGACGTTCAAGTACCTATCTCGAGGAAGCGTACTTGAGATAGGGACTTCTGGAGCTGTTCGACCATATGGGAGCTATGCTCGGGAGATAATATTACCGTTCCTGGACCTGACCTGCTTATCTCTGCTCCTGACCACCCACGTACCCGGACGTTCAAGTCCCTATCTCGCAGACATGTCCGTTAGATAGTGTGCCGCTCAGATGATTCGGGTGATGCAGATGATGCAAAGCAGAAACTCGCATTTCTTGCATCCCTAAAGCCTTCAAGATACCCAACATTAGCACGAAAGCACTTCAAGCCGGTTCCAAAAACGTGAAGAACACAGGATTCTAGAGCGAAAATGCCCCCCCCCCCCTAGCTAAAGCTACAGTTTAGTACTGGCGGTACTACGGATTCCAAGCATGCCCTATAAAACGCCTCAGCACCTTCGGTGCGGGCGGATTTAGTTAGGGTCATGATGGTTGCGCAGTTAAAGATGTTGAAGTTGGCGACTCTTCAATTGCGCTAGTAGTAGGCATGCAGGTTAGGATCAACATGCCGAGGAGATTCCATGATTTACAAAACATGATTTGGAATGATTCATCACTGATGTGCAGGTTGCAACGTTGGAAATTGACTCCGAAGTGCCCGCTGCGCGGAGATATTTGGATCGGTTCACCTGGTCCAACCCAGACCACATCTGGGAGGAGTTCGAGGCCCGATGCCAACATTTGCATGTTGTCTCCGTCCAAGATTTCAGCTTTGGTTTAGCAAGAGCTCAAGGCTCCTTTCCTGGACATGGGAACCTGCTTCCTCAATCGACCTCCCAGAAGATTCAAGCTGGAGTGACTTGGTTTTTCCTACGGCTCGGGTCGCCATGCCGAGTCGCTAGCATGAGCTAGGTCGCTGAGTTGAGCGTTTCGGTGCTGCATGATGCAGAGGCAAAAGCATGTGCCAAGCACACAGTCTGGAGTGGACAAGCAGCCAAGCATCTCGTGTTTTTTGTTCTTACCCTTTTTGGGGTTCTTGAGACTGACATCCCAAGAGGGTCTGGCGCACATCCAAGGGTTTACAACCGTGGCTTGGTGCTGGCGCGACTACAAATGGAGCTTCTGGGCACAGGGCCGTTGAGAGCCCCATGGCATGACTGTATGCTTGGCCCTGGGCAGAGGGTTACAGCGGCCTGGCTGTACCAGTTGGACAACATCTCCCAGCGAACAATGTGTGCGAGCAATACATACATTGATGTTAGTATTGATGTTATATGTGATCGTTGGATATAACAGATCGATGATCGAACTGGATCATATGAAAACACAGGATGTATGAGAACGGCGTTCCCTTTCTGTCTTTTCCGTCTTCTCTTTCCAGTGAGGTTCCCATTGACATCAAAGCTTCGGAGCCTGGAGAGTGGCATGGGTATATCCGCATCAGAGGCGCATGGGTCGCTTGGACCCGAAAGATCCATGGCGGGTTTGAGGAGAGCCGTCTCCAAGCACCCGTCGTCAATGACTGTCGTCGTGTATGCTCTTCCCAAAACAAGTCGACGCAAGCAGACACTTTTTGAATCTTGGTCATAGGCGTTTGGTGTTTCAAAGCCCAGGTGAACGTCTTTGGTGTGAACGAGGAAGAAGCTCGAATACCCACGCATCTCAAGGTGGAACGAGCCGATTGCGGGCCATGCGGGCCGCCACAGCTTCCAGTGCATGCGCCAAGACCCTTCCGCCCTGGAAGTGCCAATCGAATCCGAATCGACCCGTCCAGTCTCCACACTCAGCAACTGAGAACGCCAACGCCTCACAAGCTCAAGAGACCCTGCAGTTCGTCTTCAGTGGCTCGTTAAGGATGTTAAAAGGTCGAATTCTTCAATCTTTTCAACTTTCTGTTCTTCTGAATCTAAAGTTGAAGACTATAACACCATTCTGGCAAAGTCACTTTTCTCCATATTTTCAAGCTTGCGCAGTGTACATTTTCAACATTTCCCATGTAGAATCGAATGGGTTCCTTTTGGGGAACATATCTTGACCATCCCTCAGGGTTTTCCAGGAGGAAACCGCCCGAAACGACCCAAACCCATTGTTTCAGTCGTCGTGTAGGTGCCCCAAACGGCCAGATGCCGCGCCACGCCGCCACGCCGGGCTCCCCGCCGTGGACCCCCGGCGCGCTCACCCAGGCCAGCAGCGCGAAGCCTGAAAGTGCACGCCCGGTGTCGTCCAGGAACGGCAGCACAGCGGTGCCTAGCTCAAGGCCCTTGAGTGCTTTGGGACCACCTTCTTCGCGATGCTTGGCCGCGAAAAGAGTTTGGGGGGATCAATGTGACGGTCAATTTGGAATGATATGGATTTAAGATGATTTGGTGGAGATGCTCTTCTAAAGAACGGATTTGGATGGATCTTCATGGAATATATACACAATTGGCTCAAGCCGTTTATCCTCAAGCTCAGCAGGCAGCTAGGGTGTCATAAGCCCTACAAGCCGCAGAAGCTGACGCACCAGATCCAGGACAAGGGCAAGTACAAACTATGCGCCGGAGCTACATCGTATGCCGCGCACGGCCCCTCCGCCACCACAAGACCTGCCATCCTTGATCAAGGAGCACTTACAAAGCTTGCCACAAGATCTCAAGGCAGCGGTTGAGAAAATCGTAGAGCCAGAGAGGCCAGAACCCACTCTGGCCACGAAGCTCAAGCAATCAGTAGGGGCTTTACGCCAATTGACCGACAAGAAGGCAGCAATCCAGACAAAGGCAGATGCAGTGAAGAGCCAATACACGGCACTACTCCAGGAACTCAAAGATCTACAAGGGAAGATAGAATCTGCGCAGAAGGACCTACAACAGGCCACTACTTTGTACAATCAACAGCTTGAAAAGGATAAACAGACAGCTGACGAAGTCAATGTCGATCCTGATGAGCTCACGCCTGAAAACATCATGGCGATCGTGGCAAGTGTTGGTGTGCAAGCCACACCGACGCAGATCCAAGATTTTTCTCACAAGCTCGGCGAAAATGTGTCCAAACGCAGGAAGTGCGGGTAACACTGGACTTTGTCACAGAATGTCTACAAGTGGCTTTGAAAAGAGCCTTCATGACAGAACATCATCATGCCTTGAAGCGCACTGTGGTATCTGTTTTGCTGGACATGTCGAATTTCTATGACCGCATTAGCTTGGAAAAGCTCTCAGAACGATGGCTGGACTCAGACTATCCTGCCACACATGCGGCCATTGCGATGCAAATTTACTGTGGTCCACGTATTCTGGAAGCAGAAGCAGAAGCTTCAAGGCCTTTGAGCGCCGCGCACGGCATCTTGGCCGGAGACCCGCAAGCGCCACTTGCTGCAAAGATGTATCTCCATCGAGCTTTGAAAGCATTTTCCAGACGATATCCACAGCTGCACATCGACGTGGATAGACGACCTCAGTTTCGATGGTGTAGATCATGATCCCGCCAATGCTGTCAGGATAGCTATAGCTGCTGTCAACTACATCAAAAGCCTCTTAGAAGAAGACAATTTGATGATTCAGCCAAGAAGACTGGATTCATTGTCTCAAACAACACTGCCAAGCAGCTTTTGTTGGAACAGCTCCCACAGCAAGGCCCCACAGTACATGACGTAATGTGGCTGAGGGACTTGAGAGTGGACTGCGCAGGCGGCCGATTGAGACGGATAATGACAATGAGAGCTCGACGAGGCAAAGTTGGCAAAGCAGCAAGGAAAACCAAGTAGACGCAGTCCTTGAAAATACCCCAGCGTGCCATTCGTCTTCGTTCATACAAGGGCAGCATTGTTGCTGGTATCAGCTGGAGACATCAGGCAATGGGTTTGGCGCCTCAAATTCGAGCCAAGCACAGGGCCACTATGGGGAGACAGATGGGTCTCCAAAAGACCGGCAATTTAGACATTGTCTATGATATGCAGCCTCAGCATCAAGATCCTGATTATGGGGCCTTCATGGATCAGGTCAAGACTTTTCAGCATTTTGCTACGTGGCATCAGGGTGCACTTTTCACCAAGATCAGTGACAGCCAAGAATGTCCGCGTTGTCACCAACCCGCAACGGCAGTGCATCTCCTATGGATGTGTTCACACACCAACAGGGCTTTCCCAGCTCTGCATCAAGATGACTTGTTCGAGCTTGAGCATGGCATCAATCTTGAGTTTTGGGCGCAGGGACTTCTGCAGCTGCCACTGGAGGACCAAGCTACTGGAGGACCTTCAGTACAAGCCTGCAGAACCTGGTCCACACAAGACGAAGCTCGAATACAACACCCAGACGTGGTGACCATTGGTGTGGCGCCCACTTCAACAGATGGCAGGCTCAAGCATTTTGCTGTAGCCATTGTCCACCATACCCAACTTGGAGGCCAATTGTACCGACAAGGTGCAGTGATAGTCATTCTGCCAGGAAAACAGTCGTAGGAACGTGCTTGGTATTATGGAGCCAGGATGATTGCGCATTGTGTAGATCTGCAGCAGCGGCTAGTGGTCCACGCGCAGGAGCCTGGAAGCCTGGCAGCAAGTGCAGCGCAAGGACCGTTTTCATGACCTGCAAATGTATGTCACACATGACCAGCGCCAGAGGATCAAGGTCCTGTGCGTCAACCCCAAGCAAGTCCGTGACCTTCCCAACAAAGAATGGACCCTCGGAAATCGCATGGCAGATGCAGGGAAGGCAGCCAGAGAGGTTGCCCTCTCTCAGCAACCCAAGACTCTTGAGAGTGAACTGCATCAGCAGGACAAGAAGTACCAACGTGTTGCGCCCTTGGCAACCCAGCGCATTCGTCATCTTCTTGAGGACGGCAGCCATTTCATGCATGCAGCTAGAGAGCAAGGGAAAGAAAAAAGGAGCCAGGCAAAAGAGCTCAAGCGCGCAGCTTTCAATGGACTCTCAGGCCAAAGCAGGCCAGGTGGCCATGACTGGCAGCCAAAGGGCCGCAGCGTGCAATGCGCTCAGTGCAAAGAAAGGCTGACACTGCGCAACGCTGTGCAGGCCATACAGGCAGCTCAAGCGGCCACCTGTCCACAGGCGACTGGTCTTTGATTGGTGGGAGGCCAACCATCCATGCAAGACAAAAGTCAGTTGCTGAAGATGATGGTGGAAGGTGAGGTGCCCAACATGGCATCACACCGCTTCACAGTAGAGAAGCACTATGTGTCTGTAGCTGCGGACAACGGCTTCTCAAGCATTCCTCGAAGGAGAAGCTGCAAGAGCTCGCCCAGGCAGAGTGCTGGGATGACTTGTGGCCGCCTCCGGCGACATGGGTTGGTCACAAAATGTCACAAAACACACAAGTTGTGGAGGAAGGGCAACAAAGTGCACTGTACGCAGTGCAAGGGCCATGCCATAGTGAGAAATGGCACCTTCACCCCGAGTAAGCAGTTGAGCAAAGCATGTGGACTTGAGCAAAGCACACTCCCGATGTGCTTCAGACCCAAGGAGGTCACTGATTCAGCGTGAAAAGGAGCGCAGAAAAAATATACACAATTTAAATTGCTATTCTCAAGAGCATCGGACAGTGACGAATATGTGGCATGTACTCACTAGCGGAGATTTCAAAGATGGGTTGTGAGGTCCAGTCAGTACATGTTGAAACATCCTGGACTTTTGTTTCCCAAAGTTGGTCTTTAATGTTGGTATTTCCAAGAGCAGCTCCGTTCGATACATGTTGCTGTCCCGCATTGGAGGCGGCGCCAGTGAGATCCATCGTTCGCCTTGTCCCATCAAAAGCATCCTATCTTTGGGGCTTTCGGGCAGAAACTGAACTACACAGGGAGGCACCCGTATGTGGTTTGTCCACAAGCCACCAAGGAGGTATTTGCAGCGCAAGTGCTGTGCCGTCTTCTCGCAGCCACATTGGGCGCCAATCTGGTACTCCAGTCTTAAAAACTATCCCACAGGACTGGTGTTGCGTCACGGCTTGGCATGCTTGGCATGCGTTATTGTGTGGCGCTTTGGTCCTTCTTACAGTTGTTTCCAACACCTAAGCAACCAGCGGATGGACATTCATCCCACCAGTCTGGAGAAATGAACAACCAAAATTCACATGTCAAACTCATTGGTTCACGGCATGGGTCACACAAGGGCTCATGACTGTGGTTGACATGTTTGTGGGTCATGGCACCCGGCACGCATGGTAAACACGCAGGACATTGCAATAGGAAGGGCATTTATTTATACTTATATTGATGGCTTTAAGGTCTGATGCCTTGACCAACCCAAAGGTGAGGCTTCACAGCTGGATTCCGGACCAAATTCCGGACATGTTTGGGGATCTCAAAGTCATGAGAAGGGCGTCCGTTGGGAAACCGCTGCTAAACGCCGCTTCTCTCCGTCCTCCACAGGACCTCACGGCGGCGGAGCCGCACCCCGTGCGGCCGCGCTCCGCGCCGCTGGCGCCGCTGCCGCCGCGCTCCGCCGCGGAGGGGCGGCCCAAGAGGCCCTCATCGGCCTCGCAGGTGCGAGGTGTCTGACCAGGAGACACCAGACACCAGGAGTCCTATATGTCACCAGGAGAACATGTGATGGACACCAGATTTTTCACAGGAGACACATGGAGACTGGTGAGACATATTTCAGAAAATGTGATGGACATGTTCAATGTGACATGTTATGACATGAGTGGAGAAAATCAGGTCCATTCTTTGAATGGGATCCTGTGAATAAAGCATGTTTGGTCATGCTGGTAGGGTGCCGGCCAAGATCTCCAGCTTCGGAAGACATTGCGAGTTCGGACTATAGTTGATTGGTTGAGCTGGCCATTGCTGAGAGAAACCCTGCGAGGTGCGACACGGTCCTTCAATCACCTGATGGACTTCTACTTTGCAGTAAATCGTTGCATTGTGAGTCCTTTATGAACCTAAAGAGGATGTTTGTTTCACATGGCGTTTCACAATGTACAAGGCACGGACCAGGCTCAACGACACAAGCCCATCCGTGAGTCCATAGTTTTTTCCCACGCACCCCCAGCAAATGAAAGGTGATCAATCAAAGAAGGGGCACAGCAGTGGATCCGTCTTTCCACATACAGCTTTTGAGATGCTTTTTATACGACACTCTCAAGGATTTTCGTAGAATCTCCTCGCGATTTGCTCGGGATGTGAATTTCCTTTGTCGTTTGCACGCCCAACGGCCCGGAGAATCTCCCGGAGCATGGTAGCTAGGAAGACGAGACAAGCGACGCTTGACCGGTGACAAGAAAGACACGGAAGAAGCAGAACAAGGATAGACATCAGTGTTTCTGTTGCCCAGTCTAAGGCATGGTCACAATTTCCGATATCGGACATAGGGACACAACAACCCGGTACAATTATGCTTGTTCACGAAGCATCTCGTGTTATCCATGC